CTCTCTCTCTCTCTCGCTCTCTCCCTCTCCAACGTCTCTGCTCTCTCCAAGCTTTCCTTCTGCTCCGTTTGTTGCTCCAGTCCACGCTGCTCAGTGAGCAGAGGACGAGGAAGCTGTTTCCTGCTCTGTTTTCCTCTGCGCCGGGTGGGCGCTGCCGGCGGCGCTACAAGTACCGGTCCCATCCAAATGCAGTATAGTACCATTTTAAATGCCTCAGTACTGCGGTACCATACTAGTACCGGTATATCGTGCAACACTAATTTAAATACACTTGTTACCATGTTATTTACATTTTCTCTGGCGGTGGATGTTGGTGGAAAAACTCTGCTGTTTGCTTTAACAATACTATGCATGTCACAGAAGCACAACAGGCAAACCACCAAAATGGAATCCTTTTTTTATGTTGGGAGAAGCAGTAAAACAGATGGATGCACAGAAACAAAAAAAGTTTTTTTTTATGCTAAATAGCTTGTTTATGTGACACAGCAGTAGTAATAGGAAGTGTTTTTTGTGTGTCCCCAGACAAAAGGCTGGAGTAAAGAGGCCCAGGTTGAATTCAGTAGGGTGGTTGGCTCTGAAGTCATTGAGATGAGGACTTTGGGTCAGGACGGAGACTCTTTGTTGGTGGACCTGAGGAAAGTTACATGCCAATCCAGTGACGTACCCCTCTCTATCAGAGAGTTCCTGGTTTTCATTGAAGTGGCCAGGTACACACTTGCAAGCTAATAGGAATATTTCTGGTGTTTATCTGGAACTGAATGAGGACAAATTAAATTGACTCACTCAAATTTGGACTTTGTGAATATCAAGTCCCCTTAGTATTGAAGGCATCTGACTATGGCTGTGTTCTTCCAAAATTGCTGATAGGTTTTATTCTCCACTGACGCTGGACAGGAAGCCGCTGCAGTACTACCCTCCAGTGTATCCCAAGATCAACACACCACTCTGTGCTGCGGTGTCTCACATCAATACCCCTGCAGACTTCTACATTGATCTGGTACTAAATCTGCAAGGAATGTAATTTATATTGTGTGCTTAGAGAAATTTTAAAGGGTAGCATTTTAATCAGATCCTGTTTTAAAAAAAAATCTTAACAACTTTGTTTTCTTCCATCTCTGCATCTTTACACTGTTTGTGCCCCCCCCCTCTCCTGACTAGGTTGACAACATGGAGTCCTTTCTGCTGTCATCCAAGCTTCAGGCATGTTACAGTTTGACATCAGTGATTGGAGACGATGACCTCAACATCTACTGCCCTGTGATAGGACAAGCCTGTGTTGCCCGCTATGATGACGGCCTTTGGCAAAGAGCTCAAGTCCTAGGTGAGCATGTGCATGTATGTTTAGCTGTTTTCATGCATGAACTCTGAACTATGTCCACAGAATCAGGATGGGACTTTGTCATGGTTGCCCTTTCATACATGTAGCACACAACAAGAGAGAGTCTGTGTCAGACCTGTTCTCACCTACTGGAAATACTGCTTTTGATTTGTGTGAGAGGGGGCTACGAAGGACGGAGGGAGAAACCTAACTGCCTGTGTGCTCTTCCACTGCCTGTGGCAGTTAGGTTTCAAATGCACCAAAGTTAAAATAGACTTAAAGAGTAAAAAAAGCCTCCTGGGGTGACGTATGTCAGAGTCGGTGTGGATGGACACATTTGATATGTAGATTGGAAGTCTCTGCCTTGTGAGACGGGCAAGTGACAGACCTGCAGATAAATGTTGCGATAACAGTATTGTGGAGATTGTCTGTCCACCATTTCTACAGGGAGGGCAGTTGTTTATGCATAACATGTTTATTTTGCAGTCACACCCAGTGCAACCTTTTGAAAAAAGTCACGTCGCACTTTAAATGAATTTGATCACAAAATGAGACCGATCACTTGCAGTACCCCTGCATAAGCTAACCTTGATGTTTATGTGTGTGCGTGTAGGTCATCCAGGGGACAGAAAAGTGGAGGTGCTGTATGTAGATCTGGGCAGTAAGGAAATCTTGCCAGTCAGTGACCTGAGGAAGATCAAGGATGAGTTCTTTGCCCTTCCTTCCAAGGTGAGAACACAGAATTTGACCACTGATATTTATTTTTGCTTTAGTGATGAGAACAAAAGATTAATACACAGCCTGTTGCATTCATTTTAATTTATTGAATGTATGTCATGTGTGTCTGTGTTATTGTGCTTTAATTTTTTTTTGCACTGATCTTATTTATTCTATTTTAGTCATTTATTTTGATTTTATTCTGCCATGTGAAGTACTTTGCTCAGCTGGATGTTGTTTTTAAAGTGCTATATAAATAAATTTTGATTTGATTTAATTGTCCAAAAGTATGTCTAGACCATTGTAGCACCGGTACCTTGGTGTACTTGGCAAATGACTGAAATTAATTCAATATTTTGTGGTTAGCAATTAATTGTTCATAATTTATAAATCAAATTATTAACCTTAAGCCTGACGGATAAGTTATTGTCAAAACTGTGACCTTGGCTTTACACTTAAAAGGAAAAGAGAGAGCAGAACTGAATTTTATTTTTTTATCAATAAGAATAATTAAGAGAATCAAGTGGCTACAGATAGCAGTTGAACTGGTAAGTAAATAAGACAACAATCAATTAATTGCATTAATTATTGAATAATTTGGTTAATCTGACCTGATAAAATATAAGTATTGAGATGATATTATGGGTTATTAATTTTATAAAAATTACTAACTAAAAAAATAGAGAATTGTGGAGAATTGGCTAACAGGTTTTTTTTGCCTGACCCAACCCTTAAATGACCTCAGCGCTGTTTAGAGATGAGGAATAGTCATGCCTGTTCTGGAGTCAGTTGGGCCACATCTCTGTATGGATTGGGCTCATTCAGCAGCCCCCCCCTTGGTAGGGCCACTTGAAAATCAGCTGGGTCTCTGATGCTGATTTGATTCGGCAGGGTGTTGTATGCTGAAAAATGCAAATGGGGAGCTGGGACGCAAATTATCAATTGTCTAAAAATACTACAATAATGAAAAAATTATAACTTTAAATTTTATCTCATGTGGCTTAATTGGTGAGGAAAAAAAAGAAAAGGGAAATTGGGAAAAAGTTTGTGTGTAAAGTATTCTCGAAGCTCAGAACAGAATCGAGGGACAATACCCTGATGTTATCAGAAAAAAATTGTTACTCATTGGTGGCATGCATCAGTAAATGTATAATTCATACACAATTTTATAATCTTCTAATAAATGCATGAACTTGCCTATCTAAAGTAGAGTGGTTAGAAATGGCAAGATAATCAGTGTGCATTATGTGATTATTAAAGATTGCAAAACAAGAAAGATTTGGCTACATCCACAAGGTTCCATGCCAGCACTGATTCACCACACCTAACAAGTGAGGTTAAAGTGTACCCGGAGAGAACCTACGCAGGCACAGAGAGATTATGCAAACTCCACACAGAAAGGCAACGGGATTTCAGAGCTCAAACCCGAAACCTTCTTGTTGAGGTGACGGCGCTAACCACCGCACCGCTGTGCCACCCTATGCAATTTTAAATATAAGTTAATCATAAGTATCTAAATGAGACACCATAGACAACATTCATACGGTGGAGGTTTGTCTTAAGTGAGGCAGGATTTTCTAGTATAAGGGCATTTAATTACTGTTGCAGACTATAGTGTACTTGATTTGATTTATTCTTTCAAGCATATAAAACAGTTGATATAACAACACACATTTTTACACACAATCCAATGTCAATTTGCTTATACCTAGTACATGCTTGAATGGAGTAGGAAGAAGTCAGATTTATCCAGTCCTACCCCATGACATCATCTTACCATCATTGGTTTGCAAGCAATAAATGATTCACTTCTACCCACACACATATTATACTAAAAAAAGAATATAACAGTGTTAACATTCTTACATCACACAAGTAATATACTAAAGAATAGTTACAAAATATACACCACACCCACAATAGTCCATGTAGTTAATCATTGAGCCTGTTCTTGCATATATCTTGATTGACACATACCTTTATATTTACGTTTAAACTCGTCAATTCTATTACCTCCTGGTTCACTGAGGTAGCAAAAAGGTTCTTCTGTACACCATTCTGGGACAACAGTATATTACTGATGACTTTGTTATTCCAGTGGCATAAATTCATATAAGGCGTACCATCACTTGTTAAAGAGAATATTGCATTTGTCAGGTCAACTAGGCTACTTGCATCAAACATAATCAGAATCAGCTTCATTGGCCAGGTGTGTCGGGGACACGAGGAATTTGACTCTGGTACATCGGCTCTCAATCTGCATGTACAGTGGGGCAAAAAAGTTTTTGATACACCGCCAAGTTTTCCCACTTACAAAGAATGGACAGTTCTGTAATTTTCATCGTAGGTACACCTCAACTGTGAGAGACAGAATCTACAAAAATATTCCAGTAAATCACATTGTTAGATTTTTAAATAATTTATTTCCATTTTATTGCATGAAATAAGTATTTGATACAATAGAAAAATAGAACTTAATATTTGGTACCAAAACCTTTGTTTACAATTACAGAGGTCAGACGTTTCCTGTAGTTCTTGACCAGGTTTGCACACACTGCAGCAGGGATTTTGGCCCACTCCTCCATACAGGTCTTCTCCAGATCTTTCAGGTTTTGGGGCTGTCACTGGGCATCACAGAGTTTCAGCTCCCTCCATAGAGTTTCTATTGGGTTCAGGTCTGGAGACTGGCTAGGCCACTCTGGGACCTTGAAATGCTTCTTATGGAGCCACCCATCTTCAATGCTCTTACTGAGGGAAGGAGGTTGTTGCCCAAAATCTCGCGATACATGGCCCCATCCATCCTTTCCTCAATACGGTGCAGTCGTCCTGTCCCCTTTGCAGAAAAGCACCCCCAAAGCATGATGTTTCCACCCCCATGCTTCACGGTTGGGATGGTGTTCTTGGGATTGTACTCATCCTTCTTCCTCCAAACATAGCGAGTGGAGTTTATACCAAAAAGTTCTATTTTGGTCTCATCTGACCACATGACCTCCCATGCCTCCTCTAGATCATCCAGATAGTCTTTGGCAAACTTCAGATGGTAACCATTGAGACTGCGGTCCCTAGAGCTGTAATTGGGCCTAAAAAGTTAGGCTCGACAGGGCACAAGCCCGACAGAATTCGGCCCGAGCCCGACAAGTACATTTTTGATTGACAGCCCGAACCCATTTACAGCCCGACATTATACAAATGTGCGCATGCACACAGCTTTTGCCAAGAATGAGTCATTTATACATGTTTTAACATGATTTATTGATACCGCATTGAACATCTCAGCACTCTAAATGGGCCTACAAGTAAAAAAGGAAAAACATTACAATTAATAATTATTTATAAATAGAAAAACGCGCCAACAAAAATGAGTCCTTCTTAACAAAATAAATTGAGATAAATTCTAAATTAACATGGGTTGGCAATAATGAAGATTCGCCACTTCTCTCCACAATCCGGCCTCAATGGTGCTGAAATTTAATAAAAGAATAATGCCAACATTAGCCCAAATACTCTGTCTACATCATGCATTTAAGAGTCAATTAATATTTAGTTATAATTTGAAAAATCTTAGTATACTCACCAAGATTAGGTTACAAGTTTTTGTGGAGGAAAATAATTGAATCCACTGTAGATGGCTTCAGCGCGGTCCTGCACTCACTGACGGTGTATCCAGCAGCACTGAACACCCTTTCACTGCTGCTGCTACTGGCCGGGATGCATAGTACTGATCTGGCTAATTTTGCAAGTTTTGGGTAGGAAGGTGTGTTGATCTTCCACCAGCCAAGAACATCCATTTCATTTTCCATGACAGCCCTTTTAATATAGCGAGTGACCTCGTCATCTTCACCGTCAGCTTGCTGTACATTTTCCCACTCCACAAAATTCGCTCTTTTTGCCCGAGGAGGACTGGTGGTGGGTTTGACTTCGGAGAGCTCTGGGTCTCAAATTTGTGCACCTGCAGTCATGGCTTGCAGAAGAGTGCATGCACGGCCTCCCTCTCGGAGTGTGACAACATTCTCAGCTGGTTAAATTTTGGCCAGAGAAATGTTGCGATCTTGTGGAGGTCCTGTATTATCACTTTACGCGTGAGCCAGTCTTTGTGCTATTTACGCACGACAGCTTGCTGAGGGGGAGTCCAGGGCATTGGGCTGACAGTGGCGTTTCAGTTTCTCACACCAGAGACACACAAGATTAAGTGTTGGATACTTGTCTCCCTCAAGTTCCCGCTGTGCTTCATAGAATGGCTTCAGAAAGTCTATCAAAAAGCCCAGTGTGTCCGGTGCTATTTTTTCAATGCGTGCGCTCTCCCCTCGTGCCTCCAGCTTTTCATTGAGCTCCATCTGCAGCAATGTTGTTGAGAGTTGCGCAGCTAACCCCGACTGTTTAACGTACTTGACTAATGCTGCAGAAATTGTATCTCCTATGTCCGGAGCACCGTCGGCTTTGGATAACTCGGCAATGTTGAGTCCATGGCGCAGTACCGTATTAATGACATGATCAATGCAGTCCAATCTCTGGTGTGGCCGCAGAGCTAATTTAATGTTTGCCCCCTCATCGGTCACCCATACAATTTTGCTGAGAGAGGAAGCGTCAAGGCCAAACTTTGCCACCAGTAGTTTCAATATCTCCTGTCTGATATTTTCTCCTGTTTTTGCCTCTTCCAAAGGAAACATTGTAGTTGTCAGGGTTTTATTAACCAGTTCCTTATCCTCACTTATGAAATGGCATGTGATCGTCAAATAACTAATTTTCCGATAATCTTCTGTCCACATGTCTGTGGTCATTGCGACTGTGCCATCATCCTTTAATACAGTCTTAAGTTTCTGTACTAAAGCTTCCCTCTTTTCTTCTGCAATGCCAGTGCACCTCTTCGCAGTTGTCACATGGCTGGGAATGACAGAGTTTATGGGAACCCTCCCATACGCAGCCCCGACATTAATTAGTCCTTGTGCCTGGTTGTCTTGGTGCACAGTGACCTGTAACGCCGTCCAGAGGGGAGGAGTTCAAACAGATTGTGTCCAGGGTGTGAGGGGTCAGCAGTGATCCTCTCCACCCTCCTTTTGACCCATGAGGTGTACAGGTCCTCCATGGAGGGCAGGCTCACACCAGTGACCTTTTCTACAGCCCTGACTGTCCGCTGAAGTCTGTACTTGTCCTGTTTGGTTGCTGAGCCAAACCAGACAGTGATGGAGGTGCAGAGGACAGACTCGATGATTCCTCTGTAGAACTGTATCAGCAGCTCCTGGGGCAGGTCGAACTTCCTATGTTTGTTAGATGGTGGCACTGTTGACCACTCAGCAGTGTGGGGAACTGAGTTGCCATGGTGGAGGTTTGGGCACACGGAGTGCTGTGTAGTTGCTTGCACTTGACATGTTTGAAGAAAACAATGCGTCTCTTCTGTTGTCCAGGCAATCCCCTGCTGTTTGTCAGGTGTGATTCCTCTGGATGGACAGACATGGAGTGATGCCTGTATGAACAGATTCATCAGCCTGGCTCGCCAGAACGTGGTCACTGTTAAGGCTACAGGTACTGTATATGTTTCTGTGGGTGAATGTTTTTTTTTTTTTGTAATGAAACAGGAGGATGTAGTATTAATAGTTTTCTTTGACTGTGTCAGATAGTAAGCTTGTACTTCATATATTGCTCTTAACTGGTCACCAAAAGCCATCTTGTGCTCTTCTGTGTTTTGTCATCTTTTTTTTTTTTTTTTTTTTTTGTTCCATGTATCCAGGACGAGTCCCAAAGACCGAGCGTCTGCCTGTTGCATTGTTTTGTAGCAGTCTGGATGGGACAGTATCCAGTATAGCTGAGCTACTTGTCAGTGAGGGGCTGGCCTGCTTCAAGGAGGGGTGAGAGGGGTTGTCTTCTACAATGTGTTTTTACAGCTTTATAGAAAAAGACCACCATGGATGATCTAATCTAAAAATGGCTGCACTATTAATGAAATATATTGGATATTTACAACACCAGTATTGTTGCAGTCAGGTGTGAAGAACCACACCTGAGGGACAGTACTATACTCTTACTGCAGTAAGAGCTTAATAGTTAACTGAGAGGAAAAATGAATATCATGTTAGTGTTGTAATCTGAAAACTCATTGATTATGGGCATCAAAATGGAAAAAATTGGACCAAGCCATTCCTTCTGTTGTTTTGATTCAGAGTTCATTTTTCTTTGCGTGCTTAGAGCTGCCCCTTAATAGTCGAGTCATTAGTCGAGAGACCTGTCAGTCGACTGAGACCTCAGGTCAAGCCTGTTTTTATTTTATTTTTTGTCAGTGTGCATTCCTGTAGAAGGCAGCCCCAAATGCACAGTAACAACATGTTAACTGTTGGGAGAAGCTCAGACTTGTTGACAAACTAGACTAGAACCACATGTCAGAAGAAAAAAACTGCCCATAACATAAATAACAGAAACGGGTGTGGTGCTGCCTGTCTCATTATTCTGACAAATTCATGTGGCAACCTGACATTATGTATTGTCAATTTAAATCTTGTATCATATGCAGCTGTCTTTTGATTTTAAAAGTTTTTTTTATGCTCAGAAATACAGTGTGTGTGTGTGTGTATATATAAGCTAAAAAGAACAAATGGTCACACTGAAGAGCCGGCTGAGAGTCGACTGACAAGATCTTTAGTTGGGTACGGCCCTAGTCCTTCTTACCTGTGTTAAATTGTCATCTTGATGACATGCCCATGTTCTGTTATTTCCATTTCACCTCTGTCTTTTTGCCCATCTCTGTCTGCCCTGTTTCTACCTTTTTTTTTTGTACCTCATACAGTTGTAAACCTGAGCATGCACACCCCCTTGGTTTTGAGCCTGCCATATGGGATCCTCCACTCACGCTCAGTTCAGAACCAGAGCTGGTGGACATTCAGCCTGACCTATGGCTCCCTTCCCAACTCAAAGACCTGAAAGTCAGAGTCAGCCATGTCAACTCACCAAGCAGCTTCTACGTCCAGCTGACCCAGTATGACTCTCAGCTGAAACGGTCAGTTTTCTTGTTCTAGTCAAGGATTGCGTTTGTCTGTACTGTTCTGTAGAATTTAGAAATATTGTTAGTTTGCTGCTCTACGCTCAGTCTGAAATTGTGGTCTATCAGTAAATTACTTCAGGCTAAGTATTAAATCAAAATGACAAAACCATCAGCAGCTGCTGCCTCACACACCAGTACTGAGCTGTAAACTTCAAGCTAGATTTGTTAGCGAACAAGCCCTGCTTTGTGTGACAAATGTGCAAACAGTATTGTATGTACAATACGATGCACAACAGTAGTTACTTTTTATGCCACTGAGGGCCCTGCAACAGTTCTAACTTTTTCTAGTAGCTACATTAATCCATATAAAGTAAGTAAGAAAAGGTCCTGCTGGTCAAATGATGACACCATACGTTATTAGTTCTGTGATTACTGTATGCTCTACTTTGTTTTTCAGGATGTGTGAGCTGGTGAAGGAGTGTGCACTGAAAGAGCCAAAAGATGTGGTATGGAAGGCAGACATGTACTGTGCTGCTCACATTAACGGGGTTTGGGAGAGAGGACAGATCTCCTCTGATGTCACATCAAGCAGTATTGTGGAGGTATAAAAGCTGTTACTTTCAAAGTGCAGCCTGTGGTGTTTGTCTTCTGTAACTTTTTTTTAACCATTTTACTGCAGCCCAAAAAAATTGAGTCAGTAAGTCAGGCTTTTGATAGAGATCAAGAGATCAAGCATGTCTTCATTAAGCAAGGATCCAAAGTGCAGTCTGATTGGCAGTTGTTGTTTTTTTTCCCAGGTACTTACCCATCGTACTGTAGAGGACCTTTGACTACGTTCACACTGCAGGTCTTAATGCTCAGATCGGATTTTTTTGCCGAAATCCAATTTTTTTTTTTGCGCTGTTGTTCACACTGTCATTTAAATGCGACTGCCATCTGTCTCATGTGTGAATGGTATACGGCCCTGAGGTGACCCGCATGCGCAGAAGAGGACGTGACGTCAGACGCAGCATACTGTGTTTGCGAAAATAAAAATGGATGCGGCTCATGATAGCATGTGCGTAGCGATGTACCAGCTAATGTGCAATCGAAATAAAGACATAATAATAAGAAGAATATCAAGAAGAAGGAGAGCAAATATTGCTTATGGCCTCACCTCCTCCAGCGCAGAGTTGTGACGTCTGTCGCATTTCAATGACATAAAAATCGCATGAAATGCGACATGACTGTTCAGACTGAAGTCGCATTGCAAAACATCAGATATGTATCCGATTTAGGACCACATATGAAAGTGGCCTGGGCCGGATTTGGAAAAATCGGATTTGTGCTGTTCACACTGTCATAAGGAAATCGGATATGGGTCACATTTGGGCAAAAAGATCGGATTTGAGTCACTTCAGCCTGCAGTGTGAATGTGGTCTTAGTTTCAAGCAATCCTTAAACATTATTGTGGTTTAAAGCTTTTACTTAAACCTAAGCACAATAGTCGGTGAATCCCAATTCCCCTAATTGCATCCATGTTTCCCTCACTTGCACCGAGAGAGGAACTGAGGAAACATGTTTTAACTGATATGAGACATCCGTGATGTGACGCGTCCAATCACAAACTGATTTCCAGTGAGGAAGCATGTCAATCTGTAACAGAGTTATGTGAAGGATGCACTTGTGTATCCTCAGTTAACAGCTCCTCCAGGCGGCCCCCTTGGTCCTCGTTCCTCAAAGCAGAAATGAGAGCTTTGGGACGTCCTCCATCATGGTGGGCCGGAACAACTTTGTGGTCAAGTGAGGATGAAGGAATGATAAAATAAGGGAACTGGGATTCATCTCTTGACTCTGTTCCTGTCAGGTGAAGCGCTGTGACTATGGCAACACAGTGAATGTCCATGTCAGCAACCTGCGGCCGCTGCTGTCCTCCTTGATGGGCTCTCTGGCCCTGGAGTGCACTCTCACTGATATCAGGTTACACACACCAAGACTGTCGCACACATTGGTGGGCTGGGTGTTTGAGAATTTATATCACAATTGAACATTGGACAATAATCATAGATGGTATATCATTGTGATTAATACCTGATGATTTTCATCATCTCAAAAGATTTGCATGTGTTACACATTGTTAATTTGCTAACTACGTATTGCCTGGAATTAATAAATGTAATCAGTTAATATTGTTCATGGTGTTATTGGAGGCAAAGTTTCATACATGGAATGTGTTCCCACTTGCCGTCACTGTCCTTTCTCTTTTTCAGTCCAACAGGAGGCAAATCCACCTGGACAGCTACAGCCTGCGACTTGTTCTCCTACTACCTGACCGGAGCATCCGCTGTTATGACAGTCAAGGTCTTCTGTCCTTTCCTCTCCTCATGCTCATTTGTTTCTACTTCTCCTTTTCCTTAACTGTCAGACATTTCCTTTACCTACACACAGTCATTTGTAAAGAGTTTTTTTATGAGTTGTCACCCATTTTACTTTTTGCTCTCCATTATGCACCTCCCTTCGTTGTTGTTGTTGTAACCTGGTTTCAGTGTTTGTCCATCTATCCTCGTTTGTTTAGGAGGTGACAGATCAGCGTCCACTACCCGTCACTCTGTTCTGCTCCAACAAGAAGGGACAGTTTCTCAGTATTGCAGACTTTCTTCTCAGCGAGGGACTCGCCCTAAGGGAAAGAAAAGCAAGGTGTGTGCATTGTCAAGTGTGTATGTGATTATTGTGATTTACTGGTTAATGTGAGCAGCTTTCCTCTTCTGAAATGCAAACAAATCTACAATTCACCATTTTAAAAATGTTAAATAATCCTAACCTTCACTCTAAAGTCCTGGTAGAGCTTTAATTATTCTGCTTTGATTGTACAACAGTTCTTGGTGTTGGATTTCAGAACCTGATTGTGGTGGTTGATATTGGTATTGATACCAGCTTATTATAGGTTCTTCCAAAAAAAAAAAACCTGTTTATAGACAAGCTTTGCCTTCATCCTAGAAAATTGAGAGGCAGTTAAAGTTAATTTGTATTTTGTTGAATGGAGTATGGACAGACAACTTGTGTACTGTTCACCTCTCTCTCTCTCTCTCTCTCTCTCTCTCTCTCTTTGGAAAACAGATTCAACAACATCCTACATTTTTACATGTTAGTTTTGACTGTAATTCTTCATTTGGGCTATTTTTGCTGACTACTGGAGTCACAACATATTAGAAACTCATCACAATATTTTTAGTAGCCAGTTCTTCATGCCTGTAGTCAGTGGATGATGTTTAATTTTATGTCAGTGTCTGACCCTTAGTGTGTTTAATTCACAGAGATGCTGCCATTCACAAACCCAAAGAAACTGATGTACAGCCTCCAGTGAGCGAGACACAAATGGACGGCTCCAGTGAAAAGAAAATAAAAACCAATCATCCTGTGCCTTCTCTTATTCCTTTTCCCTCCCTCACCTCCACTTTTGCCACTCCAAAACCAGCCCCCTGCAGTATTCTATCCGCTGAGAAGGTGATCACACACACACTCTGGGCAAGAAGCCATTATCAAACTTGATTCCATGGCAGTACAAGAATACATGAAAAATCAGTTGCTTAGAAAAACCGGTAAACAGCTAAGAGAAATTCCATTACCTAAATTACAAATACTGTACATTTGAGCAACATCCTGAAAAGTGAATTTTTTAAGAATCTGCTGAATATACAAGTGCGTACGGAAAGTATTCAGCCCCCCTTAAATGTTTCACTCTTTGTTATATTGCAGCCATATGCTAAAATCATTTAAGTTCATTTTTTTCCTCATTAATGTACACACAGCACCCCATATTGACAGAAGAACAGAATTTTTGACATTTTTGCAGATTTATTAAAAAAGAAAAACTGAAATATCACATGGTCATAAGTATTTAGACCCTTTGCTCAGTATTTAGTAGAAGCACCTTTTGAGCTAATACAGCCATGAGTCTTTTTGGGAATGATGCAACAAGTTTTTCACACCTGCATTTGGGGATCCTCTGCCATTCCTCCTTGCAGATCCTCTCCAGTTCTGTCAGGTTGGATGGTAAACGTTGGTGGACAGCCATTTTCAGGTCTCTCCAGAGATGCTCAATGGG